CACCTGCGTGCTTGCAAGGCAGGCATTTATGACACTGAGCTAAATCCCTGGTCCCTTTTTTCCTTTCTTAAGTCAGTTTTAGTTTTTTTGTTGTTGGTTTTTTTTGTTTGTTTGTTTTTTTTTTTTTTTTTTGTCTTTTTGAGACAGGGTCTCACTATGCAGTTCAGGCTGGCCTTGAGCTCACTTTGTAGCTCAGGCTGGTCTCCAACTTGCAAGCATCCTCCTGCCTCAGCCTCCCGAGTGCTGGGATTACAGGTATGAGCCACCACACCCAGCTCAATTTTATTTTTCAACACAGTGACACTACACAGCTTGAGAAATTTCTTGAGTTTGTTCATTTCCAGAAGAAGGAATTGCATATTTACATACTTGGGAGGAAATGAGACAACAGCCTAGAGCAAGACTAGGGAAAAACAAACCAACACAAATCTATCCAGACTTCTACAGATTTTAAAGGGTTATTTAACAGGGAGAAATTACTGCTTTCTGCTCCTCTTACTACTTCTCACAGGCACCCAGGCAGGGGAGGGAACCAAAGAGCTCCGCTGAGCTGCGAGCTTGGCTCAGACAAGGGAGATAAGGAAACAGTTGTGCTCCTTCGAGCTGCAAGAGGAAATCAAGGTTATGGTTCAATCAAATGAAAACACTGTCCAAGGGGCTGGGGATTTAGCTTCATGGCATAAGCACCTGCCCTGCAAGCTCCCAGTCATGAGTTCAATCCCCAGCAGCAAATAAAAACAATGTTTGACTCTCCCTAGTTCTTGTATTGCTCAATTGGTTATTTTTCCATTGACAAAAATTAGAAAATCTATACCTAAAGAAAAGATTAAAAAGTAAAATAAATAAAAGATATCTAAGGGGTTTGGATCTTCTGATACTTACTGGGTTCAACATATTAAACAGAACCACCTCAAGATAAGATTGATAGTTAAAGGAAAAGCACTTGAAGGGCTTTTAGACACAGGAACAGATGCTTCAGTTATTGCCTAATGCCATCAGCCTGTGGCATGCCCTCAGGATGTGACAGCTACAGATGTACAGATGTGCGTAATGTTCCTCACTGAGCAAAAATGCTAAATTCATTTAACCTGGGGGGATACATAGAGTGGCTTTGCAGCCACATACAACTAACTTGCTTTTCAGTTACCAATTTATGATCAGTTTACAATGGCTGTCACAAGGGTGTGGAGGAGACTTCCTTCAGTGGGTGAGAGAGACATGCCAAGATTTGATTTCCAGCCATCAGGGTCTAAAACCATTTCAGAATTTTGCCTTTAAAAGTATATAAATGTTATCTTGTGGTGAAACACTATTTTGCTTAAATGGTTATGTTTTGATCTGCGCTGTTTTGTTGTTAGGCCCTCTTTTATCTCAATCTCCATTTTATTATTTACTTTTTTCCTTTTAATTAAGGGAAAAATAAATAAAAAATAGTAGGATATATTATAGTAACCCACTTTGATTTACTATTAACTTAATTTGAAGCCCTGTATTGCTCTCACCATCTTGTTTTGACTGATGTTCCTCTATTCTGTTTTGCTTGATAGTACCAGGTTTGAAAGTTTAGGCAACAGCTGTGAAGATAGTGGGATTCATTATGACGCCCATTCTGGTTGAATATTATCTACTTTTGAAGACCTGTAATGTCTCCAATGTTTTGGTTTTGTTGGTTTCGTTCTTTACTGTTTTGTTCAATTTTATTATAACTGATGATATAGGCATTTCTATTACAGATAGCGGGAGGCATTATGGTAACCATTGTTGATCACCTTGTATTATGTTTTTACATTATCTATTATGTCCACCCTTTTGATTTGACCGACTCTGTTCTGTTATATCACATTTGGTTTTCTCTCTTCCAAAAAAAGTAATAAGAACTGTGGGAGCAATAAAACCCAAAATGTGTAATAGTCATTGTACAAAAGAGAGGAAAAGAAAGTGCTCTAAACGATATAATGCATGTATATTGAAGTGTATAAGATAGACAATGATATTACTGAGTTTTGTTGGATCACTGAACAGAACTGTTTGGTCTCACTGTTTGAATATCCACTATATAAGCTTTAATTTTGTACTTGAACAAATATTTCTAAGATGACAATATGTAATCCATTGACTAGTGATTTCCTACTGTTTATTTTTTTCTGAAATTCTGTATAAATTCTACCCTTTTTCTGCTTTTTTTTTCTCCTTAAATAAAATTTTAAAAAAATAAATAAAAGTATATAAATGGTGTAAGGGACAAAAAGTTTTCCTGCGACATCCTGGCCTGGCTTGTAAGGTGTGATGTGTGCCTTGGAGTTGGGGTTTGCAGCCCTGCCTGCTGTGTGCTGAGGAGCAAACTCCCCCAGAGCCCACCATGCCTTTCAGGGCCTGGTGGGCTGCAGCACTGAAGTACTGTGTCCAGGCTGGGAAGGTGGGACGTGGTTCTGGAGAGGTGGGACAGAGCTCTGGCCCACCTGAGCCATCCTGGTTTTTCTGGTCACCTGCACACATGCTTTATGCATCAAAAGTTTACACTGCACCAGTGCTGGAATCCCCAGCAACAGCGGGGCCTGCAGGCCAGAGCAGGAGCACAACCTGCATGTTGTGGACAGCAAGAGAGCCCAGGGTGCCTGAATACAAAATGCAGTTTTTTTCTTTTGTACCTTACCACAAAAATTCCTTACAATCATCAGGTCTAAAAATAAATATACTCACAATTTAAAGTTCCAAAAACAAAAGGGAGAGTTTACCTCATAATACATTTCACTTGCCAGTATATAGTGTTTAAAAATTTTTTTAATTTTTTGTTTAAAATTTTAAAATTTTGTTTAAAATTCTAATAAAGATGGAAATGCTGTAGCAGAAAGATAATGCAATCGAATAAAGGCTAAAATGGGTCCATTGGAAAAATCTTCATAGTGGACAATAAAAGCACCCAATCCAGTCTAGGGGTCTAGGGTGTGCTTGTGTTTTTCCAGAAAATGTTAAATGTACTATCTGGGTGCCAGTGTGTGCTGTCCGGGTGTATCATGCATCTAAACCCAGAGAATGAGTTGATTCCACCTCTCAAGAAGCAGATGCTCAGTCCTGTGCAGGGATGCCTCAGAGACTGGACCACAAGGATGGGGCTAGACCAGACCTGGGACCAATTGAAGGAACTGATGCAGGATGCTCAGAAGATGGTAACAAAAAACTTGAGCCAAAAGTCTAAATAGGTGATCAGAGTATAAAGAGATAACCAAACTAAAAGTTTAATGAAATTAGGAGACACAAGGTTACTAGTATTCTTAAGATAAAATACAAAATATGTATTGTTGGGGCTGGGGATTTAGCTCAGCAGCATAAGCACCTGCCTTGCAAGCAGGCGGTCGTGAGTTCGATTCCTGGTACCGATAAAAATGAAAAAGACAATATATATATATATATATATATATATATATATATTATAGATAAATTTAGTCCTTTTCAAATTCCTTTTGCAAGAAATCTCTGCTAATTGATCTGCAACAAATCTGGCTAGTCAATTTATAGTTACAAATTCTACATTTGTAAAGAATTATCGTAATTCAATTTGGCTGAAAATATACTTGAGTGCACTCTGATGTGTAAGATATTTGTCAGTCTGTCTCTGTATGTGTTGTCTGTTTGTCCAGTCTGTTTATAAGCAGTCATTGGGAGTTCCTGAGGTAGTGATCATTCCCACATGTGGAGACAATAACCACAAGTGCCCATAAAGGAGTGCCTAAGTGGCACAGAGTACCTGAGAAATGCCCGGAGGGCATGAGGTGCTGGCAGTGAGCAGGTGTTCCAGCCCCAAGGACACGGGGTGTAAGAAGTGAGCTATTTCAGCAAAGGGGTATGATACAAGTATTTAAATAGCCCACTGGGAACTTAGAGAGTTCTCACAGACACCAACAAGCTATATGCTTCTTTCTATGTCTGTCCCAATCTGCACAAATTGTCTGTCCATGTTTGTCCATTTGTCTGTTTTGTGAAGAGCTGTTCTTTTTATTTTGAGCTCAACAATTTTTCTCTTTTTCCCTTTTTCTTTTGCACTTTGGGATCACTTAATCAAAGTTTATTTGGACTATAAAATTACAAAACATGCTTCCACCTGGTCAAAATGCCACCTGGGTTGCCAGTTGTTCCCTATGATGCAAAGATTGGTTAAGTGAATGTAATATACATTGTTGTTTATTATTGACATGAGTCTCATTGCTTAAAAAGTAATGGGTTATGATCTGACAGGAGGTAGAGCTGAAGGGCTCACCTGAGTGATGAGGAGCAGCTGTAAACACAGATGAAGGTGGCTTGGGATTTAGCTCAGCAGCACAGTGCCTGCCTGACAAATGCAAGGGCCTGAGTTCAACTCCTGGTACCCACCAAAAGGCAAATACAGATGAAGCTTCAGTTGCTACGCACTTGTAGCTCACCTCCTGCTGTTCTGCCCAGTTCCTAATGGACCATGGGCAGGTACCAGTCAGTGACTTGGGGTTGGGACACAATTTTGTAGGATATGAGTATTTTTTTTTTTTGGTCTTTTTCTTTTTTATCGGTACGGGTGATCGAACTCACCACTGCCTGCTTGCAAGGCAGGCGCTTATGCCACTGAGCTAAATCCCCAGCCGTAGGATATGGGTATTAAATAGATTTCATTTCTACTAGATACTGGATGTCTGATCAATGGTTTCTGTTAAGTTGGCCCTATTAAAAAAAGAGAAAAAATGGGTTAAATATTATAATTGATTTTTTTCTCATCTGAGAAATTATATTAAGATAATTAATATTGGACAGGACTTCAATTGGTGAATAAGAAAATGGCCACCTGGTCAGCTCTTCTTCATTGATTGGAAGCACCAGTGATCTCCATAGCCTTATGGGAGACACCACAACTAAAGTTAAGTTTTATTGTACTATGTTCACATTGGTCATCATCAAGATATATATAATGTATGTATATCCATATATATATATATATAATGGTTTTTTATTTTAAAATACCCATACAATTTTTTTAAAATTTTTATTTTGAAGGTAGCAAAATACAGCAGAACAACACAGAATAAACCCAACTGAGACAGTGTAGTGAAATTGGTACAGAACTTCACAGCAGGGTACTGGGATAACAGTAATAGGTATCACAGTATATCTCATTATCTTCACAATAGATGTTCTTTCAATTACATATATCAAAATAAAATGAAATACAGAACATTATAGAACTTATCAAAACAGAATATTGAATAGAGCAGTATCATTAATCAGAATAAAGCAAAACAGTAATAAAAATATTTGCCTTCAAAGAGATGGTAGAAGGAAATCCCCCTTATTTGCTATGGTCAAACTCCCAAGAGATGCTCAGATTTCTGGTTCCCATTTGCTGATGGGGGGCAAAAGAAAGGGGGTAGAGGAAGTGGGATGATTGACTCTCAGCCCGTGCACCAGTAGGCTCACTATTGCTTAGCAGGGAGGCAGGCTCATTGCTTGGTTTCCCAGCATCCTAAGTTCCAATGTGGCTTGGATCTCAGGAGACGCTGATCATTCTCCCCCTGGAGGGGCCTCAGCCTACCACACCACAGCTGCTTACCAAGGAGGGGAGCTGCTTGCTTGGTTTCCCAGCACCCTAAAATCCAACATAGTGCAGATCTCAGGAGATGCTCGTGGTTCCCCCATAGAAAGTTTTCATGTGGCTATGACAGATTGTTATTAAGCTCAGGATGTACCAATTCAGTCAAGCTTCCAGATGTACAGATTTTCCAAACTGTGAAACAGGGATTCTTTATGGTCACAGGATATCAGATGCAGAACTCTGTCTGTAACCAAAACATAATAGATGTATATCCCACTGAAGACCAACAAGTTAGGAAAAGCTTTTATGTATTACATAGGGATGATTGACCAAAAAGGAGATATTTGATGTCAAAATGAAAATGCCAGTGTGTTCGTGGAATTTTGGTGGTGGTCATGGTACAGTGGTGGTCATGGTACAATGTTGTATATGGTTTGATTTCTAATTTTCTGTGTAAAATATGTAACTTTGTTAACATTATAAAGGTATTCAAATATTGAAATGTTCATGGTGGTTAAAAATAATGATTCTATTTTATGTTCTAAAATACTTGATATTTACATAAGATGATAATGCTATGCTTACTGCCTGTACTGCATTGTACTGTTATCAATCTTTTCTTCTGGATGTTGAACAACTGAGGTTTAAAGACCAACATTTAGACAGATAGATGAGTTAAGAGGATAACCAATGTTTTGGCCATAGCCTTTTGGCATCAGTGAAGATCCAGAAAGTAAGAGAACCTCTGCTGTGTCATCCTATACTTGGTGATTCCCTGATCTTCTGATCAAGAGGATTATGCAACCACAGAGGAAAGTGATCACTGGTGTGTAGTGTGCCTAAGTAGAGGTTCCAGGAGAAATGGTCTCCCAAGCTTTAACAAAGAGCAGCTTGGTGAAGCAATGCCATGCCTCATTGGAACAGCTGACACTGCCCGAAGAACTAGGAGGTGCTATGCATGGTTCCAAGGCATTTCTTGAGGAGACTTAACTGACAAAACCAAAAAAGTGATTATTTTTAAAACAGGTCTCACCTTAACTTGGTCTTGAACATCCTGCAGGAAACATCCAACTCCTAGAGGTATATAAAACAGTGCTAAGTTAATATGTTGGCTATAAGAGAAGCTCAAATCACTAAGGCCTTCTGACAGTTGTTGGCTACACGCATAACTGTCTGCTGTAATGGATTAATGGACTATACAAGGTTTAAACTGTGGGAGATCTCCTAACAGCTCTTCCAGCTTTAATAGACCACCCATCCTGTGCAACAACAAAACAAGAAGTGGATATGTTGGGAGCCATTGAAGCTGGATATTTACCACATGTGTAAGGCTGGAGTGTGACCATCCTAAGAACCAAGGGTTCCTGGGGAAAGCCACGTGAAGAAGCTGCTCAGCCCAGAGAACACCTAGTTCCAAGGCAATCTGGACAGTGAATTGCTAGAATAGCAGGGTGTCATGTGACATTAAGTTACTAAAAGGTTTAAATAAATGCCCCTGCAATGGGGGGGGCAGTACCTTTCCCCCCATCAGGAGGTGAGGACTCCCCCCCCCCAGCTTTGTCTCTTCTTATTTTTCTCATCCTCTTGTCCTTAACCCTAAGAAGCTCAGAAGCCACATGGGTCGTAGCAAAGTGCTAGGTACAGTGAGGTGGAACAGTTCCAAAGCCACCCACCTAAACTCTCTGGAATGGTAACAGCAGGAGTAACAAAGCACATGAGTGAGACTCTTAAAAAATCAAATTAGAAATAATTCCTCATGTAACTAAAGGATGATGACCATAATGAAGGACATGTTTGTGGAATAAAATAGATACAGACTATAAAGAGAAATACAGAAACTTAGGAAAAGTCTGGAAATGACAAATGCCCAGCCTAGGAAAGAAATGGAACCCATGAAACACAGTCAGACAGATAACCAGGAGATTAAAATTCTACTGAAAGTATATGCAGCCTAGGAGCCAATGTGATGACATAGTATCAGATCTAGAAGACAGATTTGTGGTTACTGGTCATGAAAAGAGTGACTTTTTAAAAAAACAAGGGATCACGAGAATGAATCTAGTAGCTTCCTTCCTCAAACAGGGAAAAGAATTTGTTAGACACATAAGTGAAGCATATAGAACTCCAATCAGCCATGATAAAATTAAATCTACACCAAGCTTTATAACAAGATTCCAGAAATTCAACAAAGAACAGATTAAAAGCTGTTAGAGAAAAGAAACAAATCACATATAACACAAAGCCCATCAGAATCACAGCAGACTTCTCAACATCCGCTCTCAAGAAGAGCTTGGCGTGAAGAATTTCAAGCTCTAAAGTAAAATAACCTCTAACCCAGATTGATGTACCCTGAAAAACTCTCTTTCAAAATTGATGGAGAGTGCCAGGGATATAGCTCAGTGACATCATAGACCTGCCTGATGAGTGTAAGGTCTTGAGTTTGAGTCCTGGTACCAAAAATATTTGATGAAGAAATAATATGCCATGACAAAGAAAACATGAAGAAATTCATGACCACCAAACCAACACTCCAAAATGTTCTGAAGCACATTCTACAAAGTGATGACAAACACTACAATCCCATGAAACACAATACAATGAATATACCAGGAAAGGCAACTAAAGGGAAATAGAGGTGACCAATGATTGGAAAATTATATGGCAAGGAGAAGCCAATACACATCACTTATAATCATCAATGTACACAGTCTCAATTCATCAATCAAAGGAAGTAGACTGGCAGAATGCATTAAAAAACTAGATCCAACAATATGCTACATACAAGAAACACATTTAATGCAAAAAATTCATAGACTGGAAGTCAAAGGATGGAAAACCATACTCCATGTGATGGCACCCTAGAGAAAAGGTAGCTAGTCTGTTTGCAGACCATGTGGATTTCAAGCTAAGTGTGATCAAGAGAGACAAAGCACATCACTACATGCTTCTTAAGAGAATACTCCAAGAAGAAGCGATGACAATCATAAATATATACATGCAACAAACACCAGCTAATCCAACTATGTAAAAGAAATATTAATGGGGAGCTGGAGATTTAGCTCAGCGGCATAAGCGCCTGCCTTGCAAGCAGGCAGTCATGAGTTTGATCCCCGGTACCGATAAAAAAAGAAAAAGACAAAAAAAAAGATATTAATGGGCTAAAAATCCTCTAATAAGCAGTAGTACAATTATAATGGGAACCTCAATACCCTCCTGTCACAAATAGATCAACTAGACAAAAAAAATCAACAAACAAGTATCAGAACTGAACCAAATCTTTGAACAAATGGATTCAGTAGGTATCTATGGGCACAATTTGTAACAAATAAATCTTGGGAAAAGCCCAAATGCCCATCAACAGGTGAATGGGTAAAGAAGATATGGTTTGGGCCAGGGATTTAGCTCAGTGGCATAAGCGCCTGTCTTTTTATTTTTTATTATCTTGAAGGTAGTAAAATACAATAGAACAAGATGGAACAAATCAAAGTTAGGCAGTGCAGTGAAATTGGTGCAGAACTTCACAGCAAGTTACCGGGATAACAGTAATAGTTACCACAGTATATCTTATTATCTTCACAATAGTTGGTCTTTCAATCAGGTATAGCAAAATAAAATGAAGTACAGAACATTATAGAATTTATCAAAACAGAATATTGAATAGAGCAATACCATTAATCAGAATAAAGCAAAATGGTGTTAAAATTTTTTGCCTTCGAAGAGATGGTAGAAAGAAATCTTTGGTTCTTATTTGCTTATTTGCTATATTGCTATATGATCAACCTCCCATGAGATGCTCAGATCTCTGGCTCCCATTTGCTAACATGGGTTGGGGGAAGTGGGATGTTTGATTTCCAGCCCATGCACCAGGGGAAATTCAAATTTTATTCTTTTGTTATATACTGCATGTATTGAAGTTCACATACATTTTTTTTTGGTACTATAAAGTAAATTCATGACCTTGTGCCTGCCAGGCAAATGTTGTGCTGCTGAGCTATATTCCTGGCACTCTGTTTTTAAATTATTTGAAAAACTTTCAAGATGGGACTGCCTGGGTCAAAGTACATACACATTCATATGATTCCTGTTAATCGATTTTTCCCTTGTTTTCCAAGATAATTGTCTCTTAAAATGATTCTCTACAGGCAAAGGAACATTATTCTTATTAGCATGCAAGAAAATATATCCACTTAACACTACATCGGCTGCTGTTTTTGAGACAGGATCTCACTATATAGTTGAGGCTGGTTTTGAAGCCACTGTGCAGCTCAGGGTGGCCTCAGACTTGCAGCCATCCTCCTGTTTCAGCCTCCCAAGTGCTGGGATTACAGATATGGGTCACTCTGGCTGGTCTTGCTATGTAATTCAGGTTGGCCTCAAACTTGTGGTCATCCTCCTGCTCTATTTATTTATTTTTTGTCTTTTTGAGACATTTTCACTATGCAGTTCAGGCTGGTCTTGAACTTATAGCCATCCTCCTGCCTCAGCTTCCTGTGCACTGGAATTACAGGTGTGCATCACCATGCCTGGTTGTTTTTTTAGGCAAGGTCTCATTGTATACCCTAAAACGGACCTTAATTTGGAGATTTTCTTGCCTCTGGTTCCCCAGTAGTGGGATTATAGATGTGTACCACTACATCTGGCTTAGAATTATTACAAATCCTTTGGCTTAATATGAGAGGGATTATAAGCTTGAATTTGGGTTTAAAACTAATTTTTGATGTGACTCTTCCAGTTGGGCATGATGCCACATCCCTGTAATCCCAGTACCTGGGAAGCTGAGGCAGGAGGATCATTGTGAGTTCAAGACAAGTCTGGGCTACAAAGTGAGCTCAAGGCCAGCCTGAAATGTATTGTGAGCCCTTGTCTCAAAAAAGCAAAAGAAGCAAAACAAAGTCTTTCTGACTCCCAGTACAAAGCAAAAATTAAATAAGGTCTTCCATAAACTTCAAGGCACAAGCTAAGCTTGAATTTGAGATTCTCCTGCCACAGCCTTCCAGAGCACTAGGATGGCAGATATGTGCTACCATTACTCCTGGCTTTATTTGTCAAATAATTTTCCTTTTGGATTACATAAAAAAGGAAGATGCACAAAATACTTCATCAATGCCCTTTTTTTTTTTTTTTTTTTTTTTTTTTTTTTGCCTTTTTGTTGTGTGTGTGTGTGCGCGCCAGGGCCTCATTATGTAGTTTCAGCTGGCCTGGAGCTCACTTTGTATTCAGGCTGGTGCCAAATTCACAATCCTTCGCTCTCAGCCTCCTAAGTGCTGGGATTACAGGTGTGAGCGACCATGCCCAGCAAAAACTTCATCCTTTAAAGTGCACTGAGAGTTTAGAGGTCTATATATTGAATAAGTCAATATCCATTACTGCTTTTAGCGGTAATTTCCCTTTGTTTTCTTTTAACCCCAGTACTAGATATTGAACCCACAGCCTTTATACTGAACCAAAGTCCCAGCTCCTCTCGGTTCCTTTTTGAGATAGGTTCCTGTAAAATTTTCCAGACAAGACTTGAACTTGCAATCCTCCTACTTGGTCCTTCCATGTAGAATGAATTCCCTCTCTCCCTTCCTTTCCTGTTTTTCTTAGGTTATTGGGGGTTGAATCTAGAGCCTCATACATAATAGGTAATAAAGTTGCCACTAAACTACACCCCCAGCCCTCAGGGACTTACTTTTAAATTATGAACTAAGCTTATCAAAAAAGTTCCTTAATTGGAACTTGAAGAATGGTAGTCTTCTTGCTGTGCATGCTATTCAAAACAAAAATAATTTCATGCCTTCCGGCTCTTTAAGCATTTCTGAGTTTTCCAGACAAGGCCAGGGATCCCCTCATGTGAGCGCTTTGCTCTTCTTTCTCTCAAAGGGACGACAAAACCAGTGTGTAGTCAGGCAAGCCCAGCTGTCTGGATTTCACAGTTGTCTCAGCTGCATCAACCTTGTCCTCATGCTCATGGTTAGGGTGGGAGTGGCGGCGACAAAATTGGAAAACACGCCTGTTCATTACACCGTCTGCAGTCTAAGAAGCGGCTAAGACTAGAAGGAAGGCAGCGGCCATGAAGAAGCGAGCACAGCCAGCACCAAGAGACAGGGGTGCGCAGGTGCCTTTCCTCGGGAGTTGCAGCATTACGGCAGCAGCGCAGGACCGCGCAGACGCACCACACAGCCTTGGGCCAACCCAGGCCTCCCCGCCCCCGCCGTCTCTGAGGGCCTTCTGTGGGCCTGGCGCGGGGCTGTCTGTGGCGCCGCCTGATGCAGTGAGAAAGTCGTGTGAGGGTAGCACTCTCCTGGGCTGTTTTCCTTGACGTGATGTCTAGGCCATGAAAAAGGAACACACGTGGAAGCCTCAGGAGGGTGGATCGTGGCTGGGTAAAGGGCCACTGTGGAGTTGGGCGAATCGGACCTGCAGGCACTACAGGAGGCGGCAAGGTGAAGGGCCTCTCTCGTCGCTGTCTTAAGAGCGGGAAGTCTGAGGAGAGAGAGAGAGAGCAACTGCGCAGCTAGGCGAGGCGGTGCTGGCTAAGAGCAGGAGCTCAGTGGGGAACCGGTGGTGACTGTAAGAGTGCCTGCAACAGGCTTGTTCGCCCTCGCCGGCTGCATACTGCGTCTGTTTTGTCGCTTCAGGCTTGTCTACTTTCCTTGCTGCGCTCATGTCTCCTTCCTTCGACTCAAAGGCCAGCGTTCAGAGGTCTCCGCATTAAGTAGCAGCTGGTTCAGGCGGCAGCAGTGGCTGGGTTTTGGTTCTTTGTATATCCTCGTCCTGGAGATCTCACTGCATGCCGCGCCCTCCCTTGTCTTTCCAACCTTTCTAGTCCTGGTTTTTCTCCTTGGGCAGTAGAGTGGGCGCAGATCAAGCAGGCGAATTGTTTACTTACTTTCTTTCAGCCAAACTAAGCTCCTCACTGCAGTACCGTCAGCTTGACTTGTACCTGTCGTGTTGTATTGGCTTAAGGCTTAAGTAAATGGATTCTTTCCTGGTTTTTTTTGTTTTTTTTTTTTTTTTTTTTTTGAGACAGTCTCGCCCTGCGTTTCAGGCTGGCCTTGAGCTCACTTTGTAGCCCAGGCTGGTCTCTAACTTTAAAGGATCCTCTGCCTCAGCCTCCCAAGTGCTGGAATTACAGGAGTGTGCCACCACGCCTTGCTCACTTTTCTGTTTTTATTGCCCTGTGTTCGTTTTGAGTCCTAAAGAGTGTACATGTATCAAATGTACATAGGCTGTGGTGAAGAAGTTCCTAAGCTTTAGACCGGAGGCATGCCCGCTGCTGGAATGCTTTTTTCTTGCTTATCGCCTGCTCTTTTTTTCAAATGAAAGATCCAGCAGACTTTTTCAGCAAAGGCACACCGAGCTGCTTTACTAGGTTTAATATGTGCAAATATAAGGGCTGGGAATTTAGCTCAGCAGCATAAGTGCCTGCCTGGCAGGCACGAAGTCATGAGTTCGATCCCTGGTACCAAAGCAATAATATGTGCCATATAGGCTTTTGGAGTTCTGCATCTCTTAGTGCTTGGTAATTTATAAATCCCACTGACATTGTAAGTTATTCTGTGTGTGCTTTTTGAGGGGAGCATGTTGGGGATTGACCACAGACCCTTTGCCCTGAGTTACATCTCAGGCCCTCTTAAAAATTTTCTTTCTACATTGAGACAGAGTGTTGCTAGATTTCCCCAGGCAGTCTTGCAGTCTTCCTGTTTTAGCCTCCCAGCACCCTAGGATTGCAGGTGTGTGCCATCGTGCTAAGCCCATGTATGTGTTTTTGAGAAAAATAGAGTGACAGTCAGTGGCACTGTATCAACCTACATGTCATTCTGTCTTCTCTCTTCCACTCATGTCAGAACTTCTGTTTGTGGGGGAATTTTCAGCCCTCTGTTCAATTCCAAGCCTGACTTTGATACTGAGCTGTGATTTACAAGAGGAATGAAGATGCTCTAAACTGATGTTCATACCTAGTAGTGATGTAGTGAGTTAGCATTAGGGAGACCACGTGGAGAGTCTCCCTAATGTTTGGCATTGTGTGTGTGGTCTGATTGAAGGGCATTATCTTGGTAGAGCTCCATAGTCCAGAATTCCACTCCACAAGTTCAAACTGTGTCTTTATACAAATGCTTCTCATTGACACATAATGATATGTTGGTAACTGGCACATTCAGGGATGATTAAGCATAGATTCAAAGACAGTAATCTTTTTTGTTGTTCTGGTTTTTTGATTTTGTAATATTTGGAACAGGGTCTCACCGTGTAATTGTGGCCAGCCTGAACTCAGTGTGTAGTCCAGGCTGGTCTTGAACTTGAGGTAGTCCTCCTGCCTCAGCCTCCTGGGTGCTAGGATTATAGACAAGTGCTGTCCTGTCTGGTTTGTTTTGTTTTTTTTTTAAGACAGGGTCTTGCTATATAGTTCACACTAGAACTCACTGTGTAGCCTAGATTGGTCTGGTACTCAGTGATGTTCCTACTTTGTTGGAGAGCATTGAAGCTGAATACACGTGCAAGGCTGTGGTGTGGCCTGGGCCTGATTGAACTGAGAATGAGGAGACATCTCAGGGGGCAAGATAGGCAGTGTATTGAATTAGGAAAATTCATATTAGATATGATCATGTCCATCCATTTGTTATCAAGTGTGCACCTTAGCCATGTGTGTACTCTGGTTGGTCATTCAGTGAAGTCTCCAGTTCATCCATTTACTTGGGCATTTACCTCTCATCCAATGGCATTTTTTTGGATATTTACAAATAAGTATAATTTATATTATCATTTATGTATTGTTACTAATGTTTACATATACCTGTACTTTTCATTTAAGTTTTAATGTGAGTAGTGTTTATTTATTTTGGGTACCGGGAATTGAACTTAGAACCTTGGCATCTGCTAGGCAGGTGCTTATGCCACTGACTTACATTCCTGGCTTCTAATAATGTTTGTATGTGTATATCTGTATTGTTTTTTGGAGACAGGGTCTCACTATGTAGCCCAGGCTAATGTCAAACTTCTGGGGATTTTGTAGTCCTAGCACTCTGGGAGGTTGAAGCAAGAGCAATTCAAGTTTGAGACAAAACTTTTTAGCAATACTTTACCTTAAACTAACATTAAAAGAAAAGGGCTTGAAATGAAGTTCAGTGCAGAGGTCCTGGGTTCAGTCCCAAGTAATTCCGCTGGCGTGATGGCACACACTGTACCTGTGGTCCCAGCATTGGGAGGCTGTGGCCAGAGGATTTCTCACTAGAGGGCAGCACGGGCTGCATAGTGAGGTTCCGTCTCAAATAATGGGAAAAACCCTACCTGGAGCCTGCCCTGGATCCCTGCTGGGTGAGGCCCTTCTCAGTCATCAGGCGGCATGTGGCTGCTGCAGACTTGGGTGTGCGAGACAGAGGGCTGCAGCAGCCAGGCTGAGCTCCAGTGTCCCCCCTGCATCAAGCTGGGCACCCAGGGCTCATACTTCTGCTGGCAGGTGGGGGCTGCTGCCCTGGGTGCAGCCTGGTCACGGGGCCCTGCGCCCCGCCGATCTGTAGGCCCTCGCCCCGCTCCCCACTTTCACCCTGCTCCCTACTTTCTTGGACACTGCCCCCTCCAGCCCTAAGGCACTGCCCCGGGAAGTGGCTTCCTTCCAACCCCACTTCTTTGTGCTTTATTGCGCTTGGCACCTAGGACCTTTGGGGCAGAGGTGGCGGGAGTGGACGGTGTGTGATTAGTTCTTTTTCTTTGGCATGGAGAACTATTAATTTAAGAACGTCAGTGAGTGGAATGAAGTCACTTTACTGTTACCGAATTTCCCATGGAATGAGGACTATTGCACTAATGGTTATGCATGAGACCGCAGTGTATAATAAGTGTCGTGCTGTGGAGCAAACTCAGCGTTGAACCGAGTCTAGGGCAAGGCGTGTGTTTGTGTTTACGGATTACAAGTGTCATGGCTACTTTTGGACACTCAGTAAAGGCAGGGCTGCAGTAGTTGGGCTCTTAGCTCCAGTGCAGGTGTGTTGAAAAGGGACACATCGGTATTCAATTGGTAGTGACCTGGGGAAGAGGAAGGTGACCCAACAGTCAGCAATTTTGGTGAATGTGCTACCCTTGCCAGTTGTTGTGAGATCTTGAGTTAGTCAAACTTACCTACTTTTTGAGTTTCAGTGTTGTCTTGTACAGAAGGGATGATGATAATTTTCCTTATGTTTCACAAGGTTGCCCTGAGACTCAGATTACCCCATGAACATGAAACACTGGTAAAGTTTTGCTTTTTCAAAGGATGGCACTGTTGAACATTGCATTGTCTAAAAATATAAATAAAAATGAAAAAAAAGTTAAAACATACATTTTCAAGTAAATAACGATTTAGAAAAATTAAATTTAAAACTAAAATCCTTAAGGTCAGTGTTAGGTCTGAGAAGAAGGGAAGAGGAGAGAAGGGAAAGAGGATGGGAAGAGGTCCGTGGAAGGAGTGGAGTGGACGGCCTTGAAAGTAGTGGGCAGCGGTGGCTTTATTTCGGGAATGTGGGGAGAGACCCTCCCCCCGGCCCCGGGGCGCAGCATCTCGGTTGCACCCAGGGGCCGGTGGTCTCTCCGGGAACACGGGGAGAGGAGACTGGCGCACTGGCCGCTGGAATCTGGTGATCTCTCTCTCGGACACATGGCTTGGGGGAATATAAATAGCCTAAGCTTAGGGCAGTGCCCTAAGGCCATTAGAGATGCACCAGTATTTCATTGGCACACCTTTAGCACCAGTAAGCAGGTTCCTAGGGAGGGGGTATAGGGTTACAGGCAAGTCTATAGGGGCGGGGGAGGCAGGAGTCCCATAACTTGGCTGCCGCTTTTTCCTGGTTAAAGTGTCCAGTCTGGGCCAGCAACTCTTTCAGTCAGAACACTGTAGGTAAGTCATTGTAGTCTCAGCCGGTGCAGTATATAGGTCTCGTGTTTACAGGGGCTGTGATCCTTGACCCTGGCAGTATCATTTGGAAACTGCACACGGCAGAGTTACCAATCTAAAGATAGTATTGGGGCTACTCAACAAGCTAAAGCCTGTGCCAGTCCTTTTGATTAATGTTTTTTAATTTCTAGAGACCTGTGAGGGCCCAGGACTGAGAAATATAGTTTACTTTTGAAAATCGTGTACCATCTGAGTAGAACAATGTTGTACATTATGCATTTTGTAGTGAGAGTTATGTGCCAGCACTTCTGTGGTAAAGTCTTAAAGTAATAGGAAACCGTATTAATTAAGGATAGGTGATGTTCAGCAGGGAAAACACCGAATCATTGCATTTTGTGGAATAAATGTCTTCACATTCGGTTATATTTAGTGTGGTGGGATTGGCATACTCCACGTTGGAGTCTGCAGCTATCTTTTAGGTCCCATTTTGAATCTGTGTCAAACATATTCAGAATGGCTGTAACAGCTTTCTCTCTCCATTCCTGCTACCACCTCAGGAATGGTGAGTTTTAAAAATTTGTGACGCAGTCCAATGTAGTCTCTTTCATTTCTCTCCTGTCGGTCTTTATCTTGCAAACACACGTTTGCCAGAAATTAACCAAATGTGACTTCTTGTAGAGAAACTACTCTTTCTTTTGTCTGG